AAACAAATAAACAAAGGGTTTTAAACATCATTTTGCTCCTGGCCTGATGATTCAGAAGCTAGATCTGCCCAGGAGATTTTTTTCTTAGCTTTGCCCTTTTCTTTAGCAGGAAGAGTTCTCAAATTAGGGCACTGACTTTTCAGATGTCCAGATTTCCTACATCCAAAGCAAATAATATTTGAAGAAATCTGAACATTCTTACCACTTTTACCTTTATACCACTTTTGTTGATGCTTATGCTTGTGCTTTAGTGGACTTTTCAATTTGCTTGTTAAGTCATCGCTTTCCTCACCAACTAAGCAACTTTCCTAACAAAAAGTATGGAGTTTGAGAGGGAGAAAATCCTTGGAGGGGGTTTTAAGGAAGTGTGGATGGGATTTCACACGATTGCTCCAACAAGCTTGCACCTTAGTATCATCGGATTCCAGGTTCATCTTGAGGGAAGTTTTAGGAAGAAGAATATCTCTTTGGTGTTAAAGGATGAGGCTCCTCTGCTGCACGAGGGAAGGTGAAAGTGATTTTGTAAGTGCTTCTCTAACTAGCTGTGGGGGCTAAAGGAGAGTCACTAAGGGTTTAATGCAATACTCAGAGAGTGCATTCAAGGAGTGGACGTAGGTCATGGTTTGACCGAAGCACTATAAACTTGGTGTGTTCTTTCTGATTATTCTTGCACTTTATTTCTACGTTTAATTTTGTAGTGATTATTTGCGTGGGTGAAATTGAAAATTTATCTTTTTTATTGTGAATATAATTCGCTTCCACATCGAGTTATAAAAAGATTTTATTTTTGTTAAAGAACAATTTAAATATCCAATTCGCCCCCTCTTGGAGCATCTTGTACTTTAACAAATTCCATATGGTGCAAAGACCTATGACATGGGCTTTGTAGCCTTTGGATTTCATTTTAGTTTTTAAGGTTAGAGGTCTTAAATTTGGAGAGTTGATCCTAGTGATATGCCAAATTAATATGCAACTAAAAAATCATGAATCCAATGTCATTTGATTTGGTTTTGAGGTGAATGAAAAATTACCCAAAAAGGGTTATATGACATGAGCTTTTGACCTTGAGTTTTTGGTTGAGATTTTTGATTTGATCTTGATATTTGGGTTTTGTTTTTATTGATGAACCTCATGCAAAGTTGAGTTCAACAATATATAAAAACATTTTCTCTTAAATATGGATATGGTTTGCTGGCCGGTCCTATTTTCACAACCCTTCTTTAAAGAATGCAATGATAGTTTGTACAATAGTTTATGGAAAACTAGTTGTTGCATAGATATCTTGAATACATATAGGAATGCGAATATTTCAACAAAATTTTTGATCATTCGTATATGTTTACCCTAGTGAGTCTTCATGAATGAGCACTCAAGGCGAGTTGATGAAAACTATAATGTAAGGCAAATCTATGAAGGTGACTCCAAGAAGTGAGTGGTGATTCTGCAGAATTAGAGAGCAAGTCCCTTGGGTGGATGTCATATGAGCTAAAGGCAAGTTTAGCTAGTGAAGTTGTTGTCATATTCTTTATAAGTGTGACTTATTGTACCATGATTTTAGATATTTACAAAGGGAAAGTAACCTTAATTATGAGCAACTACTATGAAGGAGTGAGTTCTCTTGAACGATCGAGTGCATCTCAAGGCAAATAACTATTTAGCCGATTTCGTCAAGTGAACTTGGTGAGAATGAATGTATCTTTCGTATTTCAGCAATAGTGAGCCCGTACATCATTACCTCTGCTAGCGTGAGTGACTTGCGCAAAAGTTGGCTTTAGCAATTGTAATGTAGAGAAACTCTTCCTCTTGACAAGCGTTGTCTTAATTATTTGCTCTCTTTGGCTGAATCCCATGAACAATAACCTATTTAGATACATGCGAGCTATTTACATAGACATAAACAAGTAGATAATTGGCCTCCTCGATAATATTATACATGGATGCAATATTACTAGTAATTTCATGAATCTCTTTATGGTCACATTCACTAGCTAATAAAGCTAAAACTCGATCAAATATTTGATCCTCTTAAATTATGAAGAACCGATGATGCTTAACAAATGCAAAGATTTTGAATTTCTCAATGGACAAGAAAAACAAATTTATAACTAAATTTAGATGAGGGATTGCGTAGATGGCGAGTATTGATTAAAGCTTTTATGTGAGGAGGAAGGTATATAACGACGTTTTTCATATAAGTAGTTATTTAAAAAAAGATAACAAAAATTTTTTATGTGTTTTCCAACAGAAATTAACTCACCATAAATTGATGCATTTTGTGCATTTTGTGTGTGTGAGTGGATAACAACTGATTAATGGAAGAGGAGTTTTTTTTTTTTTTTTTTTTTTTTTTTTTTTTTTTTTTGACATTTAGGCTAATTAAGTCAAATTCATACTCACATCACATACGCAAGACTCAAAACAAAAACATCTTAATTGATACTTGATAGTGAAAACTCCAAATCAAGCGATTTTAAAGATATATGTTTTACTTACGAATTACCAATAGCTTAACCATCGCTGATAACGTAAGAAATATCGTTTCGTCTAGGGCTGGTCGGCTCGAAATCGACTCATATTCGAGCTCGCGAGTCGAATTTATTGAGCTTCGAGTTCGAGCTCAAGCCTATAATCGAACTCGTATATTAAACGAGCTCGAACTTTCTCGACTCAAATGCTTGTCGAGCTACTCGATTATATTACATATATTATGCTATATTATAGTATTTTATAAGTATTACCTTATATTACATCTGAGCTACATAACAATTCGAGTTCAAGCTTTTCAATCGAGCCGTGCTCGAGTAATTGAGCCGAACTCAAGCTTGATTTTTATACGAGTCGAGTTCGAGCTTATTAAATGAGCCAGAATTCTAGCTCAGTATGAGCTAAATAAGCTAAAAGCTCGGTTACACCAGTAGTTCCATCCATCTGATTTGGGTTATGACATATTCCGTGGCTTATTCAATAAAAAAAATTTAGGGGTTTTTACATGTATAACACTTAAAACTACCATATTTATCTATTAAACACCTAAAGTTACCTATTTACTAATATACCACCTCAAAACCTTTAACCTAATAAAAAAAACCACTCCGTTCGTTCCCGTTCGCTCCCGTCACAGCAGACGTCGCAACTCTGCCCTCTCCACCCTCTCCGACCTCGTTCGCCTTTTCACCGTCCGAACTCACCGCAAAGACTTCTCCAGTGACGTCGCACGCCTTAACCGTTCAGCCCGCTCGACCTTTCGCACGCCAGGTTCTTCTTCAGAGTAAACAGCATACTTGTTTGAGCACTTCTCAAACTTCCACTTCTTCTCACCATGTTTCCTGAAAAGATGATTCTTTATCCCTGTAAGATCTCCGAGAGCAAATTGCGTCCTCTGATATGGATGTGGAGTCAGAGAAGCAAATTGATTTAATAATTGATTTAAGCTTGAGATTAAGACTAGCATTCCTTTATTTACAGAATAACACATAGGGTAATTCCTGATTGAAGCAAAAAACTTTCCCAACAAAAAACAAAACTCTTGCTGAATTGGAACCATTCGTAGTAAGGTGGATCGAATATGCCTTCGACTTCAGATTTTCCCTCTGTAGGGAACGGTGCGTCGGCGAAGAAGAGATCGAGGCGGGCGGTGACGAGATCCAGCCACTTCCCCAACACCTGCTTCCTCATGATCTCGGCGCTAATGCGGAAACCGTGAAGGCAGAGAAAACGTGGCCGCCTCCGGCAATACTCGGAAGCGCCTATGGCGTTGGTAGGTTCCGTAGGGACGGTGAGGCTTCCCATGGTCAAAGGATGTCGTTTCGAGGAGAGACCGAACACCAAAGAGCCTATGTGATATGGTTTTCACAGTCATTTTGAGTGGGCGGCGTGGAGAAGACGAGCGGAGTGGCCGGCGTGGAGATGACGAGCGGAGTGGCCAGCGTGGAGATGACGACCGGTGCTGGCGACGTGGAGTTGCTCGATCGGGACGATTCCTGCATAGTGGTAATTTAGATAATCTAGTAGTATTTTAGGTGGTTAAACAATAAATAAAAATATTTGAATGTTAGATAAGTAAATAGAATTTTCTTCCAGCTGTGCTATTCGCCTATTCGGCGCTCTTCAATACTTCGGTCTATTCGACACTCCATGTAGTTTGAGAATTTAGGTATTGAATTAATAGAATAATTATAACTAATAAATATATGCACCAAGGCCAGAAGCCAAACCGACGGCTATATAGTAGGCTATATATATTTACAGTGATTCTGTCCGGATAAAAGCCTAAAATTTACATAATTTTCGTCGCAGGGAATGCTAGTTTTATTTAAAGGCTGGACTTTTCACGCGAGGCGAGGCGACATGTCTCGGTAGCCTTGCCTTCTTCTGGTGTTCAAATTCATCTGCAAGCCTACAGAAATCACCGGTGCTCTCTCTTTTTTAATCAGTTTTGAAGAAAATGCCTGCCAGCGGGCCGACGAACTCTTCCCCTCTCAACCCGCCATCGAACGACGGCTTATCAGAGCTGCTTGATAGCATGACCAACTCAGAGCTTTTCTCTTTCATGACCGTCCGCAGGTCGGAGTTCAGTAGGATCGCTGCCATTCTTAAGGAACGAGAAGAGTCGGCAAAGGCCGAGGCTTTGAAGGATCTCTCGGTCACCGTTGCAAAGCTGCAGGATAAAAATAACAGTTTGGAGAAGGAATTGCTTGCCTTGAGGAACAACCAAGCCGAGATTCAGAAGAATCAGATCCAGATGCATAACTCGTTAAATTGTGAAATTATGAAGCTTGGGATGAAGAAAAAGGATTGTGTTCGTCTCAAGGGAGAAGTCGAAAACTTAAAGAAGGATTGCACGGCTCTCAGAGAAAGCGAGAAACTTGCTCAAGAAAAGATCAATGATTTAATGGAAGAGGTTCAAAGAGCTAGGGAAGAATCTGCTAGTAGAAGAGCAGAGGATGAGCTTAATGCATTGAAGCACAAGTATTTAGAGATTGTGCAGAAGGAAACGGATCTAACGTGCGACCTTATTCGATATAGTGCCTATTGTTCGAGTCTTAAGGAGAGGTTTACTAGCCTGAAAAGAGCGTATTCAGCCCTCGAAGTGTCTGTAAAAAATACCAACAAGAGAAGCAAATTATTGGAGGAGGTTCAGTTAAAGTTGGAGGAAGCAAGGAATGGGAGAATTGTTGAGTTTGATTCATGGAAGGATAAATACTCGCCAATAGAGACTTGGATTCAGCAGTTCTTAGACAACAATTCTCATCTGGTGGAGAAAGTTAAAGAACAGACCACAACGAAAGAAGCAAAATGCGAAATTTTATACAAGCAATTAGAATTGCAGGAAGAGGAAGTTTTTAGTGGTTTCAAACATCTAGAAAAGCTTCTTACCCCTATCGAAGAACATAGAAAATGCTTCAAGGGGTCGTTAATGTGTAAGTGATTATGTCTGGCCTCTCAAATCTTATGCGACAAAAAGTTTGTTAGTTTTTTTTTTTTTTGGTTGGGAAAAACGACTAGTTTGATTTCAGTGAGAAAGCAAGGAAGATAGGATTCTCTTGTAAAAATGGTGCAACTGCAGTTTTGCTATGTTTTGTTAAACATTTTGTTGCATGGGACATAATGTGCTTAACATTTGGAAATCTACAACCATTACGGAATGTAGTCTAATTCTGTTACTTTTCATCTTTTTTCTTACTCTTATTTTGTTGACAACAATATTTGCTTTTAGGTATGATAAATGCATTAATATATTTTTATTCTCAGTTGTTCAAGAAATCGCCAAAGCTAGAAATCATGAAAAAGACGGGATGCATATATATATACTCTACATTTCTCTCCTGTGGGCCACGACGATAGAGTCGTTTATGGACAAATGACCAGTGCTGGTGGCTTAAATCCCAGATTAATTAAATTTAGGCTGTGCATGGATCCACTCATATCAAGAACGTTTCCTCTCGACATGTCATGTTCTCATCTATGCCTTTGCCAAAGAACTCCTATCACAATTTTTCCTTCTTAAAGCACTGATCTTGCCAATACATTTGAATCCAACTCCTATGGCAACTTCTTTGCTTATTTTATCGTCGTAGTTTGTGAGTAGGAGCGTAAATGAGAGAAATTCAAAAGGGAAAGAAAGAAGAAAGTGAAGATGTGTGAGAGAGCTAGGGAGTTCACTAGAGTCTAGAGTTGCTTGTGGTAACCTTTTCTGATGAGATCCAACTACGTTTTATAACGTTCGATAATATTTGTTATCATTTTCTTAAACTCTTTTAATGAAATGCTATGTTATACCATAAAGAAATAATGGGTATTTTTTCCTCTATGATATATGGAGTGAAGATGCGCTACTAATTAATTAGGCAATGCAATCTTTCATGAGACTAGGTAATCCAGAATCCAAAGTCTTGAATTTGTAAATGACGAGAAGAATAAAAGATCAGTCGATTAATCAAACAAGTTTAAAATTATCTCTGCTTATGCCAAACTGCCTTAAAAGTTCAAACTTTCAATTTCTAAAAGATATTAAAAAATGAATATTTGTTTTTCAAAAATACCTCATAAAGATAAAATGATTGATTAAAAAATAGTATTCTCTCTTCTTCTGCTTCTGAAGCTCTTTCTCAAATGCCTTTGAATCCCATTTGACATCATGCTCTTTAGCAATTGAATTTAGCATCTTTATTTTCGTCCATTTGTTAGAGATGGCTCTCACCATGTCGCACTATGTTTTAATAATAATTCTAGAGATAAGTACCATGACATAACACTTTATCCTTTAGCACTTAATTCTCATATTTTGATTATGTGTTACTCTTATATCATTTGTAAAAACTATAAATCCTCAAACATCAAGCTATTGTCCACTTTGGCCTAATCCTAGGAGCATATTTAACTTTTAGAGTTTCTAATAAAATTTTATTAATCAAATAAAAAAGCGATGCGTGGATGTTTAAGAGTTTAGTTTTTGTTTTCTTTTAAATCAATGGTTTCTCAGAAATCCTATCTAGTTTTACTAAGTCTTGATTTCTAAGATTTATAAAATCCTATTTTAGTTAAATCTTACTTGTAGTTGAACAACCCCTTTATCTGCATCATCAACACCATCATGTATCATATCATAAAGTATTATGGACATAACTTTGATAAAGAATTCTGAAATAAATAGGAAGTATATATATATATATATATATATATATATATATATAGGTTTAAGACTTGGAACCACTGTAGCTAGGTCCTGCACAACAAAACATTAAACGGAGTTCTTTATATCATCAAATAAGAACCACTCAATTAATTTCAATCACATGCATGGACAAATAGATGGAATAATTTACTTTATATCTTAAAATGACTCATTGTTCATAATCTAGAAGGAAAGATTTTTTTCAGATCAGTGGACATACGAAATTTAACATAATACCTTTGGAGGCCACTTCGAAAAAGTAGATTTGTAACCAAGCAGAGTACTACCACTTATCCATGTGTCTTCATTTGGAGTACCCAAATATCTTCATCGATACAAGTTCAAATAACACCTTAAATAGCTTATAATGTGTCAAATAAAACACATTAAAAGAAAGAGTATTCAGGCGAATAAACATTTAATTACCAGACCTTAAAATCTTGAATATTAATTGAAGTTGTATTGAAGTATTCAACAGGCTTCCTTGTAAAAAAAAATTAAAGACAAATTGCAAGCTCGGATTTGAATCTTCAATCTAACAAGAAGCACAGAGGCTTGAAGCTTCATATATTCAAATGATTTCTTACTAACTAGAAAATGCTTCCATAAAAAATACATATATGGCAAGAAAATGAAAAAGAAATACATTAGTCAATTTATATGGTTATTGCCAATCTACCTATTAAGGGAAGAAATCCTGCTTAAATTTCCATATAAGGATAGTATGTTATCTGCATCTAGTAATATTACATCCAAACCATCATCATATGAATTTAGTGTACTTAAGTATTCCTCCATAAATTGGAGTGAAGCATTAAAATTTTGCAGGTAACTTTTCTAAATGAATTGAAGAGCATGAGACTTACATAACATTGATAATTCACTGACCTCCTAGTTGTTTAGTTCAGCATGGAAAAAAAACTAGAATAATCATATTAATCGCATTTTTTAACATAATTCAAAACTCCAGAACAATTACTCTAACAAGTCTTCATCATAATAGTGAGCACAATCAACAAAGTTAACATCAAAACTCCAATGGACAAAACAATTGTAAAAAAGATAGTGGTAGTAAATGATGACATTCAGATCTATTAGAACTACTATGATAATCCAATTGTTCAGAATCTATGAAGTTCTCATCTCTTTTCAGTGGCAGCGACATGAAAATGACTAGAGCAATATACAATTATTCAAATTTAACCTCTCTCTAAAACAACACATTTTATTTAAAAAATTTAGTTTTTTTTTATAGGCTTTGGCCCATAACCAAGCCCACAAATATATGAAGAAGTTTCTCCTAGAATTTAAGCACAAATTATTGCCTCATCAACTGTTCCACCCTTGTCAATAATTTTTTGACATGTTTCCATCATCATGTCATATGTGTTTTAAAGAAAATCAAAATAGAAATGATGAAATATTACTAATAATAATATTCTAATAAATTTAATTTATTCTAACATATTTTGCCCGACATTATTTAGAAACTCATTTTTTTCTTTGTTAGTAAAATCTTCCTTATATAATTTGATAAATCCTAATTTCTACATCATAACAAAATATGTCTTACAAATTAATAGTTTTTGAAATTTAAACATGTAAAAACTTATAGATTCCTACTCATACTGATGTGCTACGAGGGATTTTGTTCCCATTCGGTGAATAAACTTCAATATCAAACAATTCTGAGAGTTTGATTCTAATATTTTTTTTTGTATTAAATAAATATTTTATTAAACATAATATAACAAATAAAAAACAATTTACGCCAAAGTTTAATCTTCATCTTCTTTAAATTAAAACATTTGTAATATGGATGTCTTTCATGTATATATCCATCTCATTATGGTCATATTATCTCTAATACCTTTTTTTGTTTCCTCACAAATTCATCACATGATATAAAGTTTCATCTATGTAACTAACGAGAATAGAAGAAAATTAGTACACTGATAGTTTCTTTTTAATTAAAGATATACCATATATGTTTATGAGTAAAAAACATTACACAACTAAATTTAATCATTTGGTCTCTCAACAAACTCTCTGTACAATTTTTTTCTTCCTAACATTCCATTCCACGTTTTTTATAATGTATATAAGTCGTAAAGCGAAAATAAAAAATCTCTTGCTCATAGTATGCATGCATTATGCAATCCTTTAAATGTGATATTCTTTTTTTTTTTTGGGGAATATTTGGGGCATAAGCCCATATATTAAGAAGAAAGTAAAAAGTTACAAGTAAAGGGAATTACATGTAAAGAGCCCTAAATAAGCCAAAAAACCAAAACTTATTAGGGCCAAAAGAAGAAAGAAACCCCAACTATACCACCCATTACAATAGAATTATCAATAAACATAACCAAAACTGTGGTAGGAGCATCAAAAGAAGAACTGGAAGACATGCTGCAGATGACCGAAGGCGGATGGAGTTAGAACCGCATCAAAGAAAGTAGTAAGATCCAGAGCCTGCAGTAAAGAAGAACCCAGCTCCCAAGCCTAAATGGACTGGACTCAGAATAATAATTGGACACGAGAGGAATGTGGAACCCTGGTTGCCCGAAGACTGTCCAAGGGCCTTGCTAATGGGAGTGTCATCATCGTCCAGTTCAGGCTTAGCAGGTAAAGCGAAGGGACGAAGGGGCTAGAAAATGCCACTACAGTAAATACTTCTCAGCAAAAGGAACCAAGAACCACCCTTCAAGCATAGATTCATATCCAGTAAGTTGATATAACATAGCAGAAAACCCCAAAAACAGTAAAGGCAACAATGCCCACCCACTCCACAAACAAGGGAGAGAAGGCAACCAAAATTAACCAGTAATGCCAAAACACCTGTTGAGATCATCAAAATGTTTCCAGGTTTTCACTTTAGCAAAAACAGCTCTCCGAATAATGCTACAGAGCTGAGTGGGGCTGTTCCAAACATTTTCAAATTTTCTAGAATTTCTTTCTTTCCATAAGTAGTAAATAGAGCTGCAAATGGTTAGATAGCAAAAAACCTTCTCCCAACTACTGAAAGTCTGTGAATCATCAAAAAATTCAAAAGCCTGCAACAAGTTTGGCCTAAGGAGGAAGACATCCAGATTAGGTAGCAGGGAAACAATCACCGAATATGAATTGTCACAGGCAAAAAACAAGTGAGAATGATTTTCACACCCATCCGAACAAAACGCACAATTAGGAAGTACATTAATCCCTCTCATAATAAGTAAGTCGGCCATTTTTAGTTTGCCCAGCAACGCCATCCA